TTAACTGTTGTATTGCTTGAGATCCCCCTGCAAGCTAGATTGTATGATATCTACTAGCTGACTTCCAGAAGGAACATGAAAGAGTTTGATTATTCCTTTGTGAAGTTTCTCTCTGACTAAGTGGCAGTATATTTCAATATGTTTAGTTCTCTCATGGAAAACTAGATTCTCATTGTTTGCAATTGCAGATTTGCTGTCAAAATAAATAGCAACTGGTGCTTTAGGATGCAATTCAAGCTCATTAAGCATATAAAGTAGCCACTGAACTTCACAAGTAATTGCTGCTAGGGCTTTGCACTCTGCTTCCGAAGAGGACCTAGATATTGTAGCCTGCTTCTTGGATTTCCAAGATAGCAAAGCTTGACTAAGGAAGATGTAGAAACCAGTGACAGACTTCCTTGAATCCACAGAAGCACCCCAATCTAAATCAGAGAATGCTTTCAAGTGTAGGTCAGATGAAGCTAGGAAGAATAAACCTTGTCCTGGAGCACCTTTAATGTACCTTAGGACTCTATGTGCAGCTTGTAGATGTAGATGTGTAGGCTTATCCAAAAACTGGGACAATTATTGTGTAGCAAAGCTTATATCAGGTCTTGTAATTGTTAGGTACAATAGCTTTCCAACAATCCTTCTGTACTGAGTATTATCATTAAGAAAATCACCTTCATCTTTACTCAACTTATGTGAAGGAACTGTGGGACTGTAAACTGGTTTGGAATCAATGAATCCTGCTTCATCTAACAGTTCTAATGCATATTTTCTTTGGGAGATTACAATTCCCTTTTTCTGTCTAGCTATCTCCAGGCCTAGGAAATACTTCAAGGGTCCTAGATCCTTGATCTGAAACTAATCATTAAGTTGCACTTTAACCTGCTGAACCAAGCTTAGATTAGCACTAGCCACTACTATATCATCTACATAAATTAGTAGGGCTATAAAGGATGATCCTCCCCCCCCCCCCTTACAAACAAGGAGTTGTCAGGAACAGATTGTCTAAATCCCATATTCTGCAAAGCAACACATAGCTTGGTGTTCCATTGTCTACTTGCCTGTTTTAAGCCATATAAGGACTTGATTAACCTGCAAACTTGACCATTGTTTTCTTCTGTGTACCCAGGAGGGGGTTCCATGTAAACTTCTTCCTATAAATCCCTATGGAGGAAGGCATTATTGACATCCATTTGGTGTAAATGTCATTCCCTAGCAGCTGTAACTGCTAGAAGAGTTCTGATGGTGGTCATCTTGGTCACTTGGCTAAAGGTATCTAGATAATCAACTCCAAGAGTCTGTGTGTAACCTTTAGCCATAAGCCTTGCCTTATACCTTTCAATAGTACCATTAGCTTTGTGTTTGATTTTGTATATCCATCTGCATCCAATTGTTTTTTTAGCTGGTGGCAAATCCACTAGTTCCCAAGTGGTGTTGTTTTTTAATCCAACAATTTCATCTTCCATAGCTTTCTTCCAACACTCATACTTTACTGCTTCCTTGTAACTTCTAGGTTCAGTGTGACATGTGAGATTCATAACAAAGGAATGAAAGGAAGGTGATAGTTTAGTATAGTTTACCACCCTGGAGATGTCATGAGGAGAAGTCTATATTGCAGAATTGTGGCACACATAATCTCCTAGATAAGCAGGAGTGATTTTCTGTCTGGTGGACCTTTTGACCACTGGTTGTTGAGGCTGTTCTGGGGAGGAATTATGTACCTGCTCAACTGAACTTTCAAACGCTTCACTGAGAGGAACACTATCTGTCTGCTGGGAACTGAAAGCATATTGGGGATCATTTTGAGGACTGAGAGAAACACTGTCTATCTGATGGGAACTGAAGGCATCCTGGGAACTATTTTTAGAATCATTAAGAGGACCTGCAATTCTCTGGGAACTATCTTGAGGATCATCAAGGAAGGCAACTAAGATGTCAACTAGGAGAATAACTTCAGGGGATTGCTTCTCAGGTGTAGCAGTCATCTGGAATGGGAAAGTGTTTTCATAAAAAACCACATCCCTGGATAGGAAGACTTCTTTTGATTTCAGATCATATAGTTTGTAGCCCTTGGTACCATTGACATATCCAATGAAGACACACTTCCTTGCCCTGGCATCAAACTTGGACTTTGGTCCTAATGTAGCAGCAAAGGCTAGACAACCAAAAACTCTCAAGTCTTGATACCGTGGAACCTTCTAAAGAAGGATCTGGGATGGTATCTGTTGGTTAATAGCAGTAGAGAGTAGTCTGTTTATGATATAAGCTGCATGCAATATGCATTCTCTCCAAAAACTTTCTGGTAAATGAGCTTGAAACTTGAGGGCTCTAGCAATAGAGAAGAGATTGTCATGTTTTCTCTCTACTCTGTTGTGGAGTATATGTGCAAGAAGTCTGATGTAATATCCCTTCTTGGTGAGAGAAGTTAGAGATGTTGAATCAAGACCATTATCTGACCTAACACTCTTAATATTTGATCCAAATTGATTCTTGACCATCCTGCAGAATCTCATGATCAGACTCCTAACTTCTGACGTTTTTCTCATTAGATGCACTCATACAGCCCTACTGTAATCATTTACCATAGTGAGAAGATAATAATGACCATGAATAGATGCTACTTTATAGGGACCGCAAATATCCATATGTAACAATTCAAAGTAGGCTGTTGAAATAGAGCTACTAGACTGCAAGGTGAGTTTCTTTTATTTAGCAAAATGGCAACAATCAAAAATCAGACTTTTATTCATTTGAATTGTTGGATCTACATTGTGTAACAATTGGATTTTAGAATGTGAGGCATGTCCCAATCTAGCATGCCACAAAGTACACAAGGGCTCCCACAGATATTAAATTATATTGAAATCCAGGAACATAGAGCACATTGGCAGAATAAACTCCTTGGACAGATGCACAGAACCAATGCAATTAATACTAAATTTCTGTCCATTGGGTAGACTAACATGTATATCATGAACTTCCTCTTGATTTGACAACAGATTCATACAACACACAATATGGTGGGTATCACCATTTTCGAATATCCACTCATATTCTTTGAAATCTGCAAGATTGAGAGATGGTTTTATACCTTCAGTTTGAGTCACTGGCATGAAGCTAGCAGATATGGTGTTGGCATGTACTTCCTGGTCAAGTGGTGTACTCATGGATCCTTTCTCTTGATGTGACTTTTGGATTTGAACTCCAGAAACCTTTTGAAATCACTGTGAGTAAATGAAACACCCACATCAGTCCCTTGTTGTTGAGTTATCAGTGGTCCTTGAGTATGATTAATAGAGCTTTGGCTTCCAACCAGGTGGGAAACCATGATTCTTGTAGCATTTGTCCTCTGTGTGTCCTGTGAACCCACAGAAGGTACATATGGGCTTCTTGTTGGCTCCTGTAAACTTCTTGTAGTTCTGTTGAGGGCCACCTGCTACCCTGATCATCAACACACTCCCAGTGACTCCATTTTCACCAGCCTGATGTAGCTGACTAGTAAAACCAGTAGTTCCAATATGGAACTGCCTTTCTTGTTGTGCTATCATGGAGTAAGCATCACACACATCTGGTAGAGGCCTCATAAGCATAATCTGGTTTCTTGCACCAGTGTATCTATCGTTAAGGCCAATGAGGAAGATGGAGAGATTATCATTTTCAACCTGCTCATTCAGCTGATCAATTTTTTCACCACATCCACATTTCATAGTACACTCACAGCCTGTGGTAGGTCTGAGTATCTAAAGCTCATCCCACAGTAATTTTTGCTGGGTGAAATACTCATTTAGAGAGTTATCACCTTGCTTCGTTTGGTAAATATCGCACTTGATTTCCGCAATCCGAAATAAGTCTTGCTGACTAAACCTACATTTCAGATCCCTCCATATCCCACATGTAGTGTTAATCCAGAGGACACTGCGTCCAATCGTTGGAGATAACGATCGAACGATCCAGGTAACCACAAGGTCATTACACTGTTCCCAAACCTCGAATTTCAGATCATGTCTAGGAGGTTTGAGGATGGAACCATCAACGAACTTGAGCTTGTTTTTGCACGATAGTGCCATTGTCATGGCTCTCGCCCAAGGATGGTAACTTGGACCCTCCAATAGCGTGGAGACAAGCACAAGGGCTGGGCTCTCATTAGGGTGCAAAAAATAGGGATTCAAATGAGACTCTAGATCAAATGTTACCTCTGTATTGATTGATCCAGTCGTCGGAGTCGGCGGAATTGCCGAAGTAGGGATTCCCGAAGCAGGTGTCGGACTTCCAATTGCCAGAGCTGCTATCGTGTTGTCAACCGGAGTTGACCTTGCACTAATCGTAGGCTACGCGCCATATTGATTTATCTCAGAATGCTCCTTTTAGTTGCACTGATACCATGTTGCGGAGCTGAAAGATAAGTGTGTTCTGGGAAGCTTGAAGGAATTTTGAAGTGTGTTAATTTTCATCATCAATTGCAAATGCACAAAGGCTAAGTACTTATACAAGACGAAATGAAGAACTAAGTAACAGAAAGGTGGTTACCAATAGTACTAACAGAAATAGCTTACATAACTAACTAAACAGAATTAGTTGAGCTTGACCTCTGCTGTTGCTGCTCATTAACTGCTATATTCCTTGAGAAAAAACCCACCTAGTACATAACCATTGCCTACATACATTCTTGATTTTGACAAAACAACATTGTCTGACTCAAACACTAACCGGAAGCCATTCTTGTTCATCAATGAACTGGAAACTAAGTTCTTCTGTAGCTCCGGTACATACAAGATGTTGTTTAGAGTCGGTTATTTCCCAAAGGTCATCCTGAGAACCACTTGACCCATGCGTTCTACAATAGACTGAGATAAATTCCCCATCCATACCTTCTCACTATTAGTCATCTCGAAAGTAGTAAACACTCACGGTTGGAACACATATGCTGGGCCGCATCCTTATCAATGAACCATTCCGTTTGGTTTGAACCAACAATGTTTACCTCGCTCACCATTGCTGAGAGGATGATTTCGGACTCACGTTGATTGTCCTGCACCACATTAGATTTAGAATTAGTATTCTTTTTCGCTTTACAATCAGCCGACTTGTGGCCCACAATGCCATAATTGAAGCATTTTCCGTGGAATTGCTTCTTGTAATTCTTGAAGTCCTTTATACCCATAGGCAACAAATGGATACTAGGTTCGACTTGAAAGGCGTCACTCACGATCATTCCTTCGTCAACAAGATTCAGGACGATCCTAAAATCCACCATCTTGTATTCAAGAAATCGGCTAAAGACAAATATCTTTGCCTTAGCATCATCACTCTTATACTTCAGGTCCAAAGACTCCCATAGCTCCTATTTCAATTTACAGTATACATTGTACAACGAGTCACACAAATCGTTTAAAACTTAGTTTAGGCATAAGAAAACAAAATATTTCCAAACCCTCACTACGCTAATGGTTTAAGCAGACTCATGTTCCATTCCACTTGGAACCATCTCGGTCAAGAACCATGACATGCCGAGAATCATTAGGTTAAACAATATTTTAAGTTGTCACCCTTTGAAATTCAACTCCTTGAATTTCCACGATCTTTCAACCAATACTATCTCATAAGAAAATAAAGATAGGTCACAAAACATTATATATTAAAATATATTTATTTGGCAGCAAAATAAAAAATAAAAAAAAAACACACCCAATGGGACTCAAACCCACAATCACTTGATTAGAAGTCAAGCGCTTTATCCATTAAGCCATGAGCGCTAATTAATTATATTAGCAAACAAACGTTATTTATCATGGAAGCAACGTGGGCACCTTGCTCCCAACGCCCTATAATCGGAGCAACTGGGTAAAGCTGGATATTTAACTGGAACATGTCCGGCAGACCCTACCGAAGCCCAAGCGTGGCAGAAAGATGATGACGCCCTGTTTTCACGTATAATAAATTGTATTGATAGGAAGATAATCCTATCTTTACAGCATTGTAAGAGTGCAAAAGACGTGTGGGATTTAGTGAATAAGTGGTTTAGCGAGGCGAATAATTTGAGGAAGTTATATCAGTTATCCCAGGATGTTCATCGACCGTCTCAAAAAGGGGCGGGACATCAGGGATTACTATTATGACTTCAAGAATGTGAGTGAGGCATTATGTGCTGCTATACCGATTACTGATAAATTGGATCAAATGAAAAAACAACGTGATCAGTTGCATATTTTTAGTTGGATTTGTGGGTTGGATAAGGAGTATGATGTTTTGAAATCACAATTATTGGGGAATAAGGAATTAGACTCGCTCGACCAAGTGTTTTCTATAGTTCAAAATGCGTCAGTGAACCTTGGTACTGATAGTACGTTGGAGAAACAAGTCTTCTTCTCACAGGGAGATAGTGGGACTGATGGTGCCAATAGTCGAGGAGGTCGGTCCAGGGGACGAGGTAGAGGGCGCGGAGGAGGTCGAGGGCAAAGGGCTTGCTATAATTGTGGTGATCCCGGCCATCTGCGTAATCAATGCCCACAGCTCTCCGACCATAGGAGGTTTGCTAATTCTGCCTCGAGACCGGAAGGGACGGTTGTGATAACTGAAGAAGAAATGGCTTTGTTTAATCAGTTAAAGCTGTCTTCCTCGCAGTCTCCAGCCAGTCCAGGGTCATTGCCGTCTCCGTCAGCTACCTTTGTTCAAACAGGTAATCCTATTGCTTGTGTTTCCTCCTCGTCTTGACAGTGGGTCATTGATTCTGGAGCCAGTGACCACATGTCAGGTAATCTAAGTATGTTTTCCGAATATTGTTCCTTTAAATATGGTCTTACGGTTACCTTGGCAGATGGTTCATCCACCTCTGTTTTAGGTAAAGGTAGTGTGAATGTTAGTTCGTCATTTCCTCTCACTTCTGTGTTATATCTCCCAAAGTTCCCATTCAATTTATTATCAATTAGTCAAATTACCCGGGACCTAAATTGTTGTGTCATGTTCTTCCCTGGATATTGTCTGTTTCAGGATCTGTTGACGAAGACGATTATTGGTAAAGGGAAGGAAGTCGGTGGGCTGTATGTGTTAGAACAGCTGTCCAAAGGTTCTGGAAGTGTTCCGGTTGGTTTGTTGGGAAATATGTCTCCGCTGCAGTTGCACTCCCGGTATGGTCACCCGCCTTTGTCTGTCTTAAAGAAGTTGTGTCCGGGGTTAGAATCTCTGTCCGGCTTGCAATGTGAGTTATGCGAGCTTGCTAAGCATTGTCGGGTACCATACCCGACTAGAGTCAATAATAGAGTCGAGTCTTTATTTCAATTAGTTCACTCAGATATATGGGGGCCGTGTTGAGTAGTGTCGAAATCTGGGTTTAAATATTTTGTAACGTTTGTAGATGATTTCTCTAGACACACTTGGCTATAGTCAAGTCAATGGTGACTATTCGTTCAACGTTCTAAATGGTAGAAGCCTTTTCAGGCTCATTTTGAGAATGGATTTGCACCCTCCACGAGAGAAAAAGAACCCTTATGCTATACAATTCAACATGCTTCTAAAAGGCTCTTGTATATATAGTGGTGCAAACCCACTTCCCAAACCAATGTGGGATAAGTGCTTTTACAAAGCCTTTCTACCTTCATTTTCAACTCAAATGGGTCTACTTTGAGAATCAATTTCTCATTCACTCATTATCTGTTTTGAGCATACAATATATCAACTTATTCGTCTTACTACGAAGAACCCAAATCCACTCTGACTCGACCTAAATTAAAAGTGGATCTACTAGATTTTGATTGCCAAAATCAACGCCAACATCCATTTAGGGCTATGTAACACACACTACACCACAACCATTGAAGGATGTCCAACGGTTGGTGTAACAAAAACAACATCCTAAAATGTTATTTTAATTTAAGGTATTTAAGCTATAAATATTGTTGTACTTATAGTAAGGAACAAATTTATTGAAACATCCCAATGTGGTGTGCACAATTTTGTTATAAATAAAGGAAGAGTATTTTTTTTTAGAAACTTAATTAGACTTCTAAAAATTGGGAGCCGCCCCATACAGACACATTTAGGCCAACCATGGTGGCACTATTTGATTGACTTTTTTTAGTATTCAATTACTAAATGAATTCTTTTTTTGTTTTTTTTGTTTTTGTTTTTAAGCTCGTAACTAACTTGGTCAATTTACAAGTACTGAATGAATATAAATAATTTTACTTTTCCGTTATAAAATGAATTTCTTATGAGATAACTTCATCAGAACAATAAAAGGAATATTTTTCTGAATTAATGAAGGCTCAATTCCAGTTTTTAAATTTTAAACACATTTAATGTTCAAATTTACTTAATTGAATAGTCGCTTGTTGCTCGTCATGATTCAAATATGTAGCATCGAAAGAATGCTTATGAATTAATGAAGGCTCAATTCCAGTTTTTAAATTTTAAACACATTTAATGATCAAATTTGCTTAATTGAATATTCGCTTGTTGCTCGTCATGATTCAAATATGTAGCATCGAAAGAATGCTTAAAAGTTAATAGCTTTTAACCTAATTGGTGTGAGTGTGTACTGTTAAGGTAATCCAGACAGTAATATCATAATTTGGAGTGAATAAGGAAACAATTAGGTTTGCTCCACATGCATGTGGATAATTTAATGCATTAATTAATTGATTAATTAATTAATTGTTTTTTTTTTTAATTGGCTTGATGAATACTTAGGAGTTAGGAGTCAACTGCATCATGATAGTATCATGGAAGATCGCATCACTTGATTGTCTTATTTTATTTTATGTAAACAATAGGATTGGAACAGAAATATAGAGAACCTTTCACAAGAAGTGATTGAATAATAATAATAATAATAATAATAATAATAATAATAATAATAATAATAATAATAATAATAATAACAATAACAATAACAATAACAATAACAATAACAATAACAATAACAATAACAATAACAACAATAACAATAACAACAATAACAACAATAACAATAATAACAATAACAATAATAATAACAACAACAATAATAATAATAATAATAATAATAATAATAATAATAATAATAATAATAATAATTGTTTTAATAATAAGAACTTTAAAGTATATCAAGTCAAGATTATATTGAAATTGTTCATGCATAGATAATTAAATTTTGAATTTGCATATTTAAATAGATAATTCTAAGTTTACAAATACAAGATAATATAGTCATGATTGATTATAACGGTCAATAAAATAATTATATAGGTTTGGTTGAAACCAAATACGGGACATAAAGGAGAGCAAATAAAAATTAGGGCATAAAATATTAAATATATAACAATATTGAAGAACTAACTAATGGTTGCCAAACAATGACATTGCGAGGTAGTTTCCTACTTCAATTTGTTGTGCGATTTGAATTCCATTTTTGTCAATAAATCCCCCAAGTAGTTAATATGATTGGCTTAATTAAAATTTTTAATTTTTTTTAAAACAATTATTATTATTATTATTATTATTATTGTTGTTGTTGTTGTTGTTGTTATTGTTGTTGTTGTTGTTGTTATTGTTGTTGTTGTTGTTGTTGTTATTATTATTATTATTATTATTATTATTATTATTATTATTATTATTATTATTATTATTATTATTATTATTATTATGTCATTTTACATGTTAATCTAAATAACTAACTTTTTCAAATATCTTTTCACCACCGTTGATATAATTCGTCGGTCAAATTCGCTAATATAATCCGCTAACTGCTGATTGTCAAACAAGAACATTGCGAGGTAGTTCTCACTTCAATTTGTTGTGTGATTTGAATACTATCTTTGTCAACAAATCCCTCAAGTAGTTAATATGATTGAGTTAATACCCAAAATTATCCTCGACTATAGTGATTTTTCTCAATTTCGTCCTAAACGACTTTGGTGACCTAATATCGTCCCAGACTTTTGTGTTTCGCTCAATTTAGTCCTCCATTTGTTATTCCGTCAAATTGGTGTTAAATTTAGGGACATTTCAATAATGTCAATATTGATCTCTCTTTACTTTCAACTTGTGAAGTGCGAAATTCATCTTTCTTGTACGAATTACACCCAGAATTACTCCCGGACCTGCAAATCAAATTTTATATTCGCAGTTTTAAGAGTAATTCTGGGACTAATTCGTAAAAAAAAAAAAAAATAAAGGATTTCGCAGTTCACATGTCTATGAGTAAAGAGATGTCAATATTAAAATTACTTAATTGTCTATTTATTTAACACCAAATGGATAGAATAACAAATGAGGGACTAAATTGAGCAAAAACACAAAAGTATGGGACGAAATTGAGCGAAACATAAAAGTCTGGGACGATATTAGGTCACCAAAGTCGTTTAGGACGAAATTGAGAAAAACCACTATAGTCGAGGACGATTTTGGGTATTAACTCTAATATGATTGGCTTTATTAATTTTTTTTTATTTTTATTTTTCATGGTATTAATAAAATACTTGGTAAACAAATATATAGCATTATTTTGTATATAACTTTGATATTTAATTTAAAAATAGTGCACAAAAAAAAAAAGATAATAGATAATATAGTGAATATAATCAATTGATGAATTTGAATGTAAAGAATTTTTAAATTGGAGAAATATAAAGAGAATATAACTAATAAAATTATTTCTCTTAATTAATTTACTGATAATGAATAATTTTTTTAATAAAGACATTGTATGGGACAATGTAGCGAATATAATCAATTGATGAATTTGAATGTAAAGAATTTTTATATTGGAGAAAAATAAAAACAATATAACTAATTAAATTATTTCTCTTATTTAATTTATTGATAATGAATAACTGTTTTTGAATAAAGACATTGTAGACACATAATTCTAAATTAAAGAAATGCATATGTATTATTTTTTGTTGTAGCTACTAAATTATTATTTATAATTTAATAAGAGCAAAATATAGTACTAATTACGCCAACTTTAATTGGGATGAGGTTCGAACCTAAGACCTTTTTATTAAAATCAATGAGTAAGTTAACGGTGAACTAACAAAAGTTAACGGATAATCATATTCATTAAGGATAAATTAGGAAATCTTAAAGGGAAAATTAAAATCTGATCAATCTGAGCCATTCATTTGATTAAAAAATTTGACTACCATTTTTTCTACCCATTATAGGCCTAACTCTCTTGGGCTCTTATTAGTATAGTAGATGTATGTTTGAGAATTTCAAATATGTTATTAAACTTAAATAATATTTTGGGAGTTGTGAAGTTAAAATGTTATTTTAAGTTTAGTAGAAATATTATTAAAGTTATTTGATTTTGAGTGAATTCAATTTTTGGTCCTACTGTTATTGGGGTCTTTCCAATTTTAGTCCACCATAATATTTTTTGCCACATTACACCCACAGTTATTAACATCGTTCCAATTTTAGTCCACGTTAGACTTTCCGTTCATTTGGCCGTGAGTTGGAGGGGCATTTCCGGCATTTTATTTTGTTTCTCTTTTACTTTAAGTTGTTGACAACATTTCTTTTCCCTTTCCTAATTTTCCCAGCGGAGTTACGGAGGAGCTCTTCTACCGTTCTACCCATTTCAATCTACAAACTATAGGAGCTTTGCTTGAATGGAAAGATACAAAGGAGAAAGCTCTAGTTCTTCGAATACAATGAGAAAGTGTTATGTGTATGGTGAATGGATTTCAATTCAGAAATGTCGATGTGGCCAATAAATGGTTTTGAAGACATCATAGACAAATGAAAATCCAGGTATGAGGTATTAGGAATGTTCAAGATGTAAGGTTAGTATTTTATATGTTTACAATTTAGAAATTTTTGCAATGGGTCAATTTTCAATTTCCAAATTCGCAATTTTGAGTTTTTAATTTCGCAAAAGGTTCAATTTAATCTTCGCAATTTTGAGTTTCATCTTCACAATTTTCAGGATGGATCATGTGGGTTTGTGAATTGGTATGATCCCCCAATTTGCCCTATGTCAAAGAGGATAATACCTGGGCTATTGAGGAGAATTAACAAAAGTGAAGAAGAACTTACAAGGTTAAAAGCCAAGTTGAGAAGTGGAAGAAATGAAGAAGAAATGGAAGAAATGAAGGAGAAGCATAGGACTAGCAAAAGTAAATTCATGATGGCTGTTGTACTTCTGATTGTAGTGCTAATGGGTTGTTTGGCTGTGGAGAAGAATGATAGTTTAGGTGTACCTATGCTCCCATAATGTTTTTGTACTGTATTTTTGGTTTGTGTTGCAATAAAATTGGTTTGTGTTATGTTTGAATATTGCAATTGAATAGAATGTTTATATGCAAATGAACATCAACCATGGCTATTTTGTTGTTGTGCCTTACTGCCAAAACAATAATGACCAAATGACAACACTTCATAGCCAAAATGAACATAAATATACTGACCAAACTGTATTTTGCACTAAAGAGTAATATAACCAAAAGACAGAGCCAAAACACAGTGCTTCATTTTTCCCAAAATGTATTGTGACCAAACTGTATGTTACACATCAGATAGCTCTAATACATAGCCAAAAGACAGTACTTCATAGCTAAAATACATAGCAAAATGAACATAGCCAAAAGACAGTACTTCATAGACAAAATACATAGGAAAATGAACAATTCTGATCACAAAAATCAGTGTATTCTGATTACAAAATATCTAACAAAGTAACAATTCTAATCAAGGTTAATCAATCTTAACAGGTGTGTCAATGGTGTTGGTGAATCTTGACTTGAGAGTAGATCTTGTGCCATATCTTCTCACAGGTTGAACACTTGAAGTCTTGGATTTCTTGGAAGTCTTGGAACTCTTGGAAGCTTTGGTTGCTCACTTGTGGTATAGTTTCTTGCTGACTGCTGTCAAACTCCATTGATGGTTGAGTAATTGTAATTTCTTCATGCTGAACAACCACTCCACCTTCAGGAACATTGTCAAACATAGCAGCTACCTCTACTGCTTCAGTCCAAAAATCTACACTTATCTGACCCTCCAAACCAACTTCATGAGGCTCACAACCAAGTCCAGGGAGAACAGCAGGCTGAGAACCAACTCTAGGGGGCACAACCTGCTCAAAATCAACTCTAGGTGGCACAACCTGCTCAGAATCAACTCTAGGGGGCACAACATTTCCAGTTTGCTGCTTCATTTTCCTTTTTTTGGGATTACAC